ACACACACACACACACACACACACACACACACACACACACACACACAAATGAACGAATGAACAAATGAACGAATGAATGAATGAAAGAATGAAAGAACACACAGACAGGCCATCTTTCTCACACACACAAACACACTGCCACACATTCAGAGGAGAAAGTGAAAAGATGTTGCCTCATTTTTTCTTTTAGGATGGTAATGATGCACATGGAAGGGACGAGAGAGCCACGATTGTTACGAAGACGGCGAGGGATTTGTTCTGTCTTCGGCAGAGAAGGAACAACAAGGAAACAAAATACGGTGGCATCTCAATCTGCAGCCAGTCCTGTGAAGGAAGCAATGGGATGGGATCTGATGCATATTGGCCTGCCATTCCAGATGGGCCCCTTCAGAGGTTTATAATTTATAAAGCCAATGAAGGATGCTGGAAACTCCAGATGGGGCCCTTCAGAGGTTCACCTCGTGTATGCAAGGTCATGTGTTCAATTCCTGCTGAAAGGGATGGCTTGTGAAAGGGTAGTCACGGGTGCGATTTCTGTTTGAAAAGTACCGAAAGCGGGGAGCTACTAAGATGAGGGGCTGTTTGTGGATGTGTTGGTGGGACAAGTCTCCCACTACCAGAGCTACAGTCATCACCCGAATAGAACACCTGGTCACTATGGCTGCATCTGGACTGAAAAGTTGCCCCAAATACGACTATAATGTCCGGGTGCTCTTTTTTTTCTTTTCCTATGGACCACGGATCAGATATTAAACTGATCAGAACAGATACGACCCTTGATCTTAGCCAACAAAAAGCTCGAGTGAAGATGGTAAAGCCACTATAGAGAGAACTTTTCTATTCTCTTTTGAATTTTTCCCCTTGCTTGTATTTTAATGGGGGTCAAGTTGGTCAACCCCCCTATACTAACTTTTTTTTTTTTTTTTTTTTTTTAATAAAACCCCCCGCTAGTGTTAGTGGTGCTGGTAAGAGCAGACACCACTAGCACCTGGGAGGGCTCCATCTATTGGTGGGGAGCATCACCTGCTGGAAAACGGGTCCAGCGTCCTTATACAGATTGAGTTTGAGCTGCGTGGGGAAAGAATCAGAAATGCTCGAGCGGGGTTCCTGCCAGCATTGATTACCCTGGGGCCCAGGGGATTGACTGAGCAGGATAGAGGAAGGAGGGGGGATCCCCTCACCTTGAACTCAGTGCCAGATTTCTGCTGCTACCTCCCCCTACCAACCCCAGTCCCCTACCGTCCATCCCTCCCTTTACTAAGCATCTACGTGGCACCCTCGGCCGCCGCCGCAGGATCCTAGTTCGCGGCCAGGATCCTAGGCCACAGGCCCGCGGCCGAGTCCGCACGCGGCCGCGCCACGCCCAGGCGGGGGCGCGCGCTCAAAATCGGTGCGCGCGCTCGGCCTGCGCACGTCGGCCGCTATAGGCCTGTGCCAAAAAAAAAAAAAAATCAAAAATTTGGGGGGGCGATTTTTGATGTGTGAAAAAAAAAATCAAAAAAATAGAAAAAAAAAATCGAATGATTGATTGATTGATTGATTGATTGGTGGGGGAGGGGTCCTCCCTCCCCTCCCCCCGGCGCACACACACACACACACACACACACACACACACACACACACACAATCAATCAATCAATCAATCAATCAATCAATCAATCAACCAAAGCAATCAAGATCCTATTCGATAGGATCTTGATTGGTTTTGTTGATCGATTGATTGATTGATTGATTGATTGATTGATTGATTGTGTGTGTGTGTGTGTGTGTGTGTGTGTGTGTGTGTGTGTGTGTAGTAGTGAATATTTCGACGTTCTAGAGGAAGATCCGATCGATTCTGCTCATCCTTTTGACGGATGTCGCGCGAGGCCGCGGCCTTGGAGACTTACCTGTTGCCCGAGACTTCGCGCAACGAATCGATCGGAGTACTCTCTCTCTCTCTCTCTCTCTCTCTCTCTCTCTCTCTCTCTCTCTCTCTCTCTCTCTC